TTGGACGGAAGCTTGCAATTACCACTACTGTCCAAGAACAGGCTTGATCAAACCGAGCCTAAAACATTTTCAATTTTGTATTTGGGCGTTCTTTATGGGTTCTGCGTTTCTCTTTTTAAACGCAATTTATCAAATGGAATATTATTATATTACATTTCTATTATATAACTGTCTTTCTTAACAATTTACACAAAGGGTGTACCCTAAATTTCGCAAAATATACTAAGATAAGTGTATAATAATATACTGAAACACTTGATAAACATTTTAACAGTTTGGATTATGCATTTTATAAGACTACTTACAATTTATCGATATTTATATATTCAGGATAGAACAGTAGTACATATGAACATGTACCCTAACAAGGATACCCGGTATCTATACAGTGACATGAAAAGTGATACAAGTTATAAAAGTACCCGGGGATCGTCAGATTCTATCTGTGACACAGACATTCGAAACATACTATCAAATTATTGACGTCAATAAATACTAGACTGATAAACTAGCTGATATTTGACATGCATTACCCGGTTTTACCTCCTCCTTTAAACCTTCTAGTATTAATAGTGCATGTAGTAAAGTTTTCATTCATAAAATTTATCTCGTACGACTTCTTACCGGTTTCTTATAATTAAGTTAAAACCGTTTCTTAAACTTATATGTAATCGTAACTGTAGCCGGGAACCAGTAAAGTAGTTAAACTCGCGCGCACCCACATTGGCTGACAAAGATCTTGTGTTTGTCAACATTAGTCACATTAAGTACATTCAACTTTACAAAACTGCTCAATTTTATTCTGCGGATTCAGATTGCCCAAGGCTAGCATCCAAGAAGGGTCTGAAAAAGAAATATTGACAAGAAATTTATTTATCTTTTAAGTAAAATTAACATTACATATGATTGAGAAAATATTTGTAATCGCGTCAAAACAAAAGACTATTTAAAGTTTATTAAGATTTGCATTTGAATGGGAACCGATTTATTGGAGTGTTTCTTATTTATGCACGGTCAGCACAGTTCAGTCGTGTACAAGGACTACAGTGAGGACGACAACTACACGTGCTCTCACCATCTGTTACCATAGAAATAACAACCTAATACTCGAGAAACAGCAGATAACAACAATTCCAACTGCATTGCCACAAGAAAGGACTAAGTAGCTACAGACAAGCATACCTGGTTCTGCAGCCGAGAAAAGTTTACTATTTTGGTGTTTTTGAATGTAAGTGTTCATGTTTTTCTGTTTCAAATTCATGTACTCTGTACCTTGTAATAGCCAAAAAAAGCACTTCTCGGCGTTAGGAAAGAAGGGTTTCTCATTTTTTCTCATGGCTTTGTCTGATTTTAATAAAACAAATTGAAAATAATATTGAACTTTATATTAGATATGTGATTTTATATCTAATTGGACCGCACTGGCTCCACATCTCTAGATAGATAGAGAAGATGTAGAACAGTCAACATCCACCTTGTTTCGGACATTTTTAAGTAAAGATATTTTTAGCTAGGCAAATAAGATAAAAATATATATAAAAAAAACATGCTTAAAAACTTAAAGTGTATAAAGATATATAGAAAGATTTCTCTGCTGCAAATTTATTGTTTGAATATTTAAAAAGAATACTTTTAAAATGCTTATATGAAGGAAATATTGTAGTTGTTTACTTTAAAATGTCGAATTGCACATGCTAAACGGGAAAAACATACTTAAAATAGAAGAATAATATTTGGTCTTGGAACATTTTACATGCATTCTTTCAACGGGTAACGTACGACATTCATGTGTGTTAAATAACACTATTTTATAATTAAATTCTTTGTTCCGGACAATTTTATTTCGATTGGAAAGTATTGTACTATTATTATTAGCATCGTTATTATTATTACTGTTATTACTCATTCTAGAAGTAGCTTTTTTAAAGAAAAAGAAAAAATATTAAACAACAATCTGAAATCATTGAATAAAAGATTAAACCATGATTTAAGATTAGCATAATAAATATATAAATATCATGAAATATTAATCACTGATGATTTTTGCTATTCGTCTTTTCGGAGGAAAAGCTATTTTTAAAAATGTGCATAAAAGTGAAATGTTTGGGCCATATTTTTTGTTTCATTTTTTTCTATAAAATTTGAAAATTTGTACATGATAAATTGTCAAGGCAACAACAGTGCACACGGGATGTTAATGGTTAGTTTTTAATAATTCTTTTTGGAGTTCCTTGTGCAGTCATGTTTTATTTTATATATTGAATACCTACTTAATTAACTTCAAATATATATATTTTTGTTAGTTAATGTCTGTAAATTCCAAAATATTTTCATTTTAATTGATGACTGCTCGATGACAACCGGTTACATGGAACAGAATAACTTGATTGTTTTCGGGATAAGCCTTAACTTGATTTACAAATTATAGATTTATATAAAATCTCGTTTACAAATTATAGATTTATATAAAATCTCGGAAAACGTTTAAATTGCAAACAAATTCTTGTTACGGAAAGGATGGATAAAACAGTTATTTAAGTGGACATACAAGGAAAATCTGTTTGATGTGGGGAGTAATTTTATTTCAATTTTTTATTAATCCGATTTGCAGTGAAATCGTCTATATAAATTTCATCTCTGCGGCGTTTTTAAAGTCTTTTGAAGTTGAAAATTAACTTAATCTTTAGATGTCGCTGTATCACTTTGTCTGATTACATTTTATCTCGCCACCAGACGCCTTGATTTTTTGACCCTGCATTCATTAGCAGGACGATGGATTTCAATTAACAGTATATCAACATTTCTTCCTAAAAGTAACCAACTTAAATTATACATACATGTTTATTAAATAAAGTTTAGACAAAAAGGCATGACATGTCAATATCAAAGCAAATTGGATACAAAACGTCCTATGCAGCACAAAAATAATTTTAATTTTTTACACATCTATTCTGAACAGAAATACCCGAAAAGTTTTTTTAAATAAAAAAACCCGAGCAATTCAAACTGCATGTTTATATACTGAGGAACTTAAGGCGGAATGTAATTCTTTGCAGGTATAGTTAAAGATACATGTATACATGTATGTAAAAGCGTTAAAAGTCTGCGTTACGATATATAAATCGGTTTGTTTTTTTTTCAGTTTCTAATACTCAAAATTAGTAAAAATCAAAATGTCACATGTTTTTAAGATATAGAATATCATGTTATGAAAGCGTTGATGTATGAAGTGTCGGTGTTTTTAGTTGAATATATATTAAATTTCACACATTACATATGGTTGATAGCTTTTAATCACCGTTTTCTGATGAGTAAAATGAGTTTTTCTTTCCATCGGAAAGAAGTGTTACATTTCATTCTGAAACGCATAATTTTGTTTCACATTTATAAATAACCCTTTTTTTATCATTTAAGAGATTCTTACATTCACCCGTTTATTTAAGTTAAAAACAGAAAAAGAGGTAAATAATTTACATAATGATTTGGCATAAAAGGGCGGTTCCACACTAATAGACCCCGGAGTTTTTTTAGAAGTTGCTAGAAAATAAGAAAATCTGTCAATCCGCTTTGAAATTTAAAATACTTAAATTTTGTTCTTACAAAGGAATAAAACCAGACCACGAGATCGAATTTATTTCTGCGGTTTGGAAATTATTACAGTTAATTTATTCCTAAAGTTAAAAGTACAGGTGGACCCATATTTATGACACGTACGTTCACCGAGTACGTAACAGATAGGGACGTTATATGTATTGTAAAAGATTAACAGATAACCGATTATTTTATGAAAACTTCAATATAACGTTACTGTTTTGTCATCAGAATAGGATATTATTATAGTCAAGGATAATGGCAAAAGCATTAGCAGTTTCTCGGCATCAAAACATGTTAATTGTCCATCTAGCGATTGTTTCAGTTTTGTATTCACACAATGTTATTTAAGTTATTTTAAAGTTTTAACAAGCTATTACAAAAATGAAAGATAATAAATTATAAACGATCTTTTTTATCATGTTTAACAATAACTTTTGAAAACGATATTAAATGAATCACCTATATGTACAATATTTTAGTATTTTTACACAGTTGCAATTGTTTTAGAAAAAGCAATTTTCAAGGTCTAGGTATATCTGATTGTCCTACTTTATTAATCTCTTGTTGTAAATGCACTTTTAGATGAATAGATAAAAAAACAATGTATTTATGTATCAAACAGTAAAGGAGTGTTTAAGGACAGTATACTTGTGATAAAAAAAGAAGTGTCCGTAATCTAGCGTTCAAGGAACGCGAATTTTCGTTTACTTTGCAATGAGTTGTACTTTAACAGATTGTTGATATCGCCGAGGTTTCGGTTATATAATGGTATGATTTCAGCATCGTAAATATATGTGATTAATGCATACAAACATATCAACATCTACCCGAAACTTAAACCCACATAACTTGTATATATTTATTATCTACAGCTATATTTACAATATTACCATATATGGCTTGTTTTAATCACGTGGGCATTCGTTCAAGTTGAGTAATTGTTCATTCATAAAATGCATTACACTAAAAAATGTAAACAAATCTACACGATATGTAGTGGTGAATCATGGGCAGGTTGTATAGATATGTGTGTATATTTGCTTGAAAGTAACTATATTGGTTAGCCAGACTACAATCCCTGTTTTCACAATTTGGTTAAAGATGTTTATGTTATTGTCTTTGTTTCACTTATGAGAGATGTATACACAACACTGATAGTTTGCCTTTTACTTGTATACATATAAAGACTTTGAAGTTCGAACAATGCAGATTATATATCAATTGGCAATCATTTGATATTCTTATAAATGAAGAGTTTATTTAAACAAACAAAGACATGCTTCTTAGTACATATAAACCTTAAACTACAAAGTGGTTTTATTACATGTAAGTTTTCAGACGACTGATAAGTACTTTATATGCGGCAATTAAAAGTAGACTAACAAATATTGTATTATATCTTACAGAGTTGATAGACAAACATCAAGTATGTTATGTTCTTACCAGCACAGTGAGTGCTCGTTCCTTGATGAATTAACATGCAGTAATGATGATATACAAAATTACGGAGATTTTCAACGTTGGGGCAGCTATGAGCAAATTGTTCCTGGAAACAATGACAACTTGTGTGATGTAGAGTCCTCGCTATACGTTCCAAGATCATCCTCTGTTAAAAGTGATATTAGTTCTAGTTACTGGCCATGTACAACAGCAGCAGCATTAACAACACAAATGCCGGACACATCGTCTGTGTACGGGTCTTCATCAATGCCGCCCACATACGACGATCATCTGAGATCTCTGCACGAGGAGGAATTGCGCATGCGCACGTCGTCGCCGACCCATAGTGATATTTCTCTAGCTGAAGTAGACACCAACATGACAGATATAGTCGATGATAAACATAATGATAACTCTGAACTTCTAACTGATATAATGGAATGCATTGAAAATGTTTCAAAATCAGAAGACAGGCAGATAAGAAAGAAAGGTGAATACATAATATGTAAATTAAGTGATACTTTATGAATAATTGTTGTTTTTTGCTTTAATCTTTAATGATTAAAAGACTAGGTTTAAATAATCTGCTTTAAATACATAGTACAATGTACCGGCAGATTTAATCTTATAATAAGATTTGATATTGAAAAGTTAAACTGTCCTTGCTTTTCTTTATTTCATTTATAATCGTTATTTGTATTTATTGCAGTAAAACATTCAACTAAATCAAAACCAAAAGCCTACGAAGAGTTGATGAAAGAAGCTGCTTCATTGTTAGCAAGTAAGTATCTAAATTCTTTATCAAAATATATTTCTATTCTTAATTGTACAGTATCACTGTAATTTGTGTTGCAATAATTCCAAGAGATTATATGTTTTAAACTAATTTGACAAATACATAGCGTTTAAATTTGTGTTTCGGTATATTTAATATCACTATAAATCTACTATATATGACAAGAAATATTTATGATTCTTTTGTCATATCCGTATTTTATTTATTTTATTTTATTTATTTTTTATTTTCAGATAGTGGCCAGATTCAGCTGTGGCAGTTTATCCTCGAACTTCTGACTACAGAGAGTGGAGCAACCTGTGCACGCTGGGAGGGACCTCTAGGAGAGTTTCGTATTACTGATCCAGACCAAGTCGCTAACAAATGGGGTCAGCGAAAAAACAAACCAAACATGAACTATGATAAATTAAGTCGAGCATTACGTTATTATTATGACAAAAACATTCTTACAAAGGTTCAAGGAAAGAGATACACCTACAGATTTGACTTTAAAGCTATTGTTCAATCTCATAGGTCTCTCTCAGGAGTGGCATCTAATGCTATTCTGTCTCAAATAAATGCCATTCAACATCCTCCGTCCTCAAAGAAAATTGCTCAAAAAGTCCGGAGCAGGCCTCTGGGAATCCATGGTCCTCGCCACTATACAGCGACCCAATTAACCTCATACACACAATCATTACAACAAAATGGATATTCAAGATCAACCTTTGGACCGTGTGATCAGCCAACATGGCTACCAAATGAGACACGTAGAGGGATCGAGAATGAGCCGCAGGTATCTACATGGTATACCGACCATAATGTGTTCGACTATTGTTCAGATAATTATGGCTATGGCATGTGTTACACACAACCGTGATACTGTTATATAATTGCCTTGATCTCAGTTGTAACATAATAAAGAAATATATATATCAGTATATGGCCATATGCTGGGGATTTCCGGCCAGTAAATTACATATTGTTCGAGTACATACACGAACAACAATCCAGATTGTCCCGAGTCTCGCACTTTACTTCAACCATTCCATGCAATTGTAAAGATGTAAAAATAATGGTGTACATATTATAGTAATGATACTGTGATTTTACCTATAAACATTACAAATGACGTGATTGTTTTTCATGATTTTGATATGTACTGTTCAATGTTCAAGAAGCAAAGCTTATTATTATATTTTGCAAAATAAATTTTATTTTCATTACATTGTGTTACTTGTATATTTTTCTTGTCCTTGTGTTCAATTATTGCAAAGCCGTTGATAATTACTTTCTATGGTATATTAGTAATACATATCATGTCTGTGTTTAAGCTTTTGGATTCTATTACGGACTATATTTTGAGTATGGATTAAAACCTATATTGGTAGCTATAGTATAATACTTCTTACGTCCAGACTGAATTCAGTCAAATGTCTGTAATACATAGACTGCTTTTATTCCCTTTAAATCAACACCTAATTCCAAAATTTACACTATTTTAAGGCGGAAAAATGACCTAAAAATGAAATCGTTTAACTCTTCACCCGAAGCGAATATTAATCATAATGATTATCGTCTTTCAACATATTTCTGTTTTTTACCGTCTTAAGTGCCTAAGTTGATCAGTGTAAGATTTTAAACGTTAAGACCTCATTGGAGTTCCCTTTAAAGATTTTTTCATTTTTAGATTATTTTTGCACAAATATTTTTTATTATGGAAAAAACGGAGTGAGCGAATGATCCTGAAATTTTGAACACACGTTTATGGTATAGGCCTATATGAAATGAGATAAAAATCTCGAAACAAAATGTCTTGTCCAGCAATGTCCCCTCAACGCATAAAGCAATGACTGGGAAAAAAATCTTGTTGGACCAAGAACATATAATTTTACTGAATTAATTAACTTTTTTATGTCAACAATCTTAAAAAAGGCTTTTGCAAGAGTTTGGTAAAACAATTGAATATTAAGTTTTCAAAGAAGGACATGTTTATTAAACTTATTCGCGTGATGAAGATCAATTTAAATGAGCTTTATACTAAATTAACGAATTCAGTAAAAATAATGATGAAAGAGAACTCTTTTAATTGAAAATAATTATTCTGAGTTCAATTATTTGTCAAAAAGTAACTGTACCGATTAATTTAATTCTATGCGTTTTATTTCGTTTAAAAAAACGAAAAAACATAATGACTCATAAAATCGTTGTCGTTTTCTTTATTTAAGTCTTCCAACAAAATATATGTTTTTTTAAATATACACTTTTATAAATTTGGAAATCAATATAAAACAAAAAACCTAACATATTTTTTTATATTTCTCTTTGGTCCGTAATTCATGAGGGCGATACAAATAGAGAACGACAATTTATAATATCTCAGTTCAGGCTTCTCTGGAATATAACAGTTGAAGATTGAAAACCACATAAGCCGGTCATTTCTAATGATGCACATTTTTCATATCTTTCATGAACAGAATCTGCAATTTTGATATAATAATGTAGATTTCTTGTTTCCGAGGAATAACCTCTTTTCAAGATTTTTATTAGGCAATCTGTCCGTTGGAATGAATCCTATATTTATTTGTTTTTATATAGAGTTATACCTGAGATGAATGCATTGTAACACATCAGGGTAAATCTTATTATTATTATGTGTCTACCATATAAAGTTGTTTTTTTTTATATATTTATATATGACTTTCCTTTGTGTTCAAAACTAGATACCTGTTGCTTACAGTAGACCACTTGTTTCGTCAGTCAGTGCAGTAGCCTTTGATAATAGGCATGAAACGGTTTGACTTAAAATAAAAAATAAACCAATTCAGAAGTAATTTTATGACGTTTGAATAATTAATTAACCGGTAATTGGCTCTCGGGTAACATTTTAAGACCGTCTTCACATCGGTTCAAATTCGACTTTAGCGGATTAAATAACCATGGGTTGAAGGGTCACAATGAGTCAGACTTTCTAACCTATCATATAACATTATAATAAGTGAAAACCGCAACTTTAATATTCAGATATCCATCATGTCGTATTCAGAGATAGTGTCGTGATCTCACGTGATAAGAAATATCCTGAAGACGGTAACTCAGACACTGTGATAACAGCGTGTTGAATTCTTCTTTGTGTCCTCGCCAGTTCAATGACTCAATCAGTAGCAACTGAAACAGCTCATGTTTTTTTCGCGGGAAATTTTACACATACAAAAAATATAAATAATTGTTGCTATTTTAAGAAACGTTTTAGTGCTAATCTTTTAGATGATTTGATAATGATTCATTCTTTGTTAATACAGGGAATCTTAATTACATAATGGAAACTAAAACCAACAAACTTGTAACAGTCGTAATGAATATAACAGCACTTCTTGAAATTAGTATACGCGCAGGAACAAAATACAGTAGCTGAGTCGTCCATATAAATAGTACTTTTTAACAATTTGTAACTATGGCAATTTAAATAATCTCAGATGAGTCATTGAAAGTAATTCAATTAATACTCAATTATATATATATTCTAGTACAGGTACTCAATATCAGTTTGAATCACAAAACTTAGTAGTAAGTCATAAAATTTTAAGTACATGTAATTTTACAAATTTTGTCTGTTTTCTAACTGAAAACTTTTATTTAACTTTATTCTCACCAATGAAATACTGCGTTTATACATGTAATAGAGGATCGATTAGGAAAATGTACCAATCTCATATACTTCGGGCCATATTGTTCAGCATCGCATCAGGTACAGAATCAAACCTACATAATTCTACCTGTTCAGTTAAACAATTACCATATTTAGGTAAAGCATTACTGCAAAACATTATTCCATATATAGTTGTGGTGATTATTTTGCACATGTAACAATCCAATAATAGCAACACATATAACAAAATGCTATTAAAAACTAATTAAATGGGAGTGAATTATTTATCATCAAGTGTTTATATCAATTTTGGGGTTTCTTCTGCAACAGCCGTTATTGTTGCTGTCATGAATCCATGTGATCTTTGTGCACTTTTTTCATAAGCCTGAACGCTTTTCTAAATCTTAAACATGATCCTTTATTAATTCACGGTCACTTCCTTCCGCATGCAGTTGTGAAGATACAGTAAGTGCACGTTTTCAGATAATATCAAGGCGACAAGATACATTGATAACAAAAATAGTCAAAACAGTTAGCATTGTAGGTGTTTAACAAGTGTTTGGGAAACTTTATTGACCTTGTAAAGTGAACAGTCAATTAGTTTTATTAATTGTTTAAAGTATTAACGACACGAGCGGGATATGAATTTGGACGGTGAACGGAGGATCCTGATGAATATGAAATAATGCTTATTTGCAGGTTATAAATAGTGTTCATCGAACCATTTAGATAAGTTGAGCTAACAAATTTAAGACTTAATGTTAATGTGACTAATTGCGGTTTTAAGTGACTCATTCTTTAAAATGCACTTTTGATAACAGTATACACGTCGTAAAGAGATAATAATATAAAGTAGAGTAGTACGGTCATTGTGTCAAACAATCTAACTTTGTAGGGAAATCACCGCCAGATTTCGGTGATTTTATGACGTTAAACGCGCTACTTTGGGCCTCGTTCAAACTGCCTAAATAAATAAAGACCTCGCTGACCCGGTGCGTATTTTTTATCAGATGTACGAGACATAAATCATGTTGTAGTATTCTTTACAAAATAAACTATAATAACTTTGAAAGACGAAAATATAAATACGCTGTAATATTCAGTGCATTCAGTGTTCAATGATTTGACTTTACAAATAGAAATTGTTAGTTTTGTGTATACATGTATATTAATACTGAATTATACAGTAAGATCTCATCATATGAAGTTTTAAACATCAACTTTTTGTCAATACTAATCAATTTAGATTGCTTATCGTTTTTCTTTCCTACCGAAATTTGTCTTCATTAGGTACAGTAATAGTTTCCAAATGCTTCTATTTATACAGTTCCCAAAATATACGCATTGGCATAAAAACTGGGCAATCTTTAGATTTTTTTTTCGCTGTGCAATTATTACAGAAAATTAATTTATTAGGGAAGTCAAAATACTGATCCGTTGAAATTGTGCGTCTTACGTAACAGATTGAATTTTTTCGATTTGCCGTTATTTTTGTCAGGTAAAAAGCATCTAACCTTTTCTTAGTTCGCAACTCTAATATTATTAAACACATGTTTAACCATTGAAAGAAATGAAAAAAAAATCTGATGCTTTCATTAAGTGTCGAAGATCGAGTACAGCTCAAGCCGGTGCTGGGGGGTGTAAGGGATACTGTAATTTTTCACTATCCCTCATGTACAGACTGAATCAAACCGAGTCAGCAATTTTCATGTAATATTTGTTTTCATTAATCCTTCCGAGGGATCACCATCTTTATAGACTTTTGTACTGAGTCTGCTCTTTTTAATTTATTCTTGCAGAGATTACGGTGAAAATTAAGGCTTTAATTGACAGGGAATGTACAGGGGGAAATTCAATGGAAGTTGATAGTCCTTACATAAATTAAATGTGTGCAGCCACTATTTTGTTTAAAGTAAAATAATAGAACGTTTTTGATATGATATTTCAGATACGGTAAACTAAGACATATTTAGGATATTAACACTGCATTACAAAACGGGTTATATCCCCGGAAAACTTTCAGCCATTTAAATGTCGTTAAGATATAAAAATATGAATTTCCCTTTTCCTTTTACTAGTACATCAATAAAGTCGTAGTCTTTAATTACCATTTTCCCTAAGATGTTAGTGCGTTTCGTGTTTTATTTAAGATTCATTACTTGCAAAGTATAAAGAAATATAAGAATGTTTATATCATTTACTAACATTAACAAATCGCTACTGATTGTGTGCTATCATAGACGTTCAACGATGCCACTATATCACATCTAACAACCTAAAAATACATCATATACCACTGCTTTACCATCAATATGGCTATGGCTATATTTACAAGCAAAAAGATGTGTACATGTATCTGAATATGAATGCATTTTTGGCTTTGTCTTGCTAGTAAATGTACGTAACAGTCTACTCTAAAACTGGAAATTCTGAGAAACAAGTTTATATTGTGTTCTAAAACTTTATAACATTGAACAATTTAGTGTACACCAGCATACGAAGGTAATAGCAGAAAATAAGAAATCGTTCAAACATTGCTCCATGTATGAAAATACAAAGAAGTACAAAACTGAAAGC